TCTGAAATTACACTCTATCTGCAAGAAAGACGTGATTTGGGTTGTTCCTTTTCTCATGTGCTTTAAATTTTAGTTTTCCTTCCAAAATTGGCCTCGTGTGTTCCTAGACAAGGGAATGGTTTTCTTAGCTTAGAACATTTTTACTCTGCATATGATAGTGAGCACATTTGTACGTTGTACGTTGTTGCACAGTTTACATTTAAAAGTGATTTTTTTTTCATCCTTAGAAAACAGGTGCTGTGCACAAATAAAGTAACAGCTACTTGGCAAGCCAGTGTACTTTTGTGACAAATGAATTCTAGGAGAGTAATTTCATTTCATGTCTTATAAAATCGTCATCATCTAGATTGCAAGAAATTTTTATGTGGATTCCTATCTCATTTATGTCAATGAACAAGAATACTATAGTTTATACCCTTGCAACTTCAAGTGGGTCCTGTGGTCCACCAACACGGGCAGCACCTGACAGCTGGTTAGGCATGCGGACTCTGGAGCCCCACACCGAAGGGGTCAGAATCTTCACTGAGCATGCCTCTCAAATGATTCCTAAGCAGTGAGGAAACCGGAAGTCCCACTCGGGAGGTACATTTAGCAAAGTCCAGCAGGTATCTGTCTGGAGCTTCTTGTAACTTACAACGCTTATTACTGATTTAGATTTTTTTTTAAGATTTTATTTATTTATTTGACAGACAGAGACACAGCGATAGAGGGAACACAAGCAGGCGGAGTGGGAGAGGGAGAAGCAGGCTTCCCGCCGAGCAGGGAGCCCGATGTGGGGCTCGATTCCAGGACCCTGGGATCATGACCTGAGCCAAAGGCAGATGCTTAATGACTGAGCCAGCCAGGCGCCCCTACTGATTTAGATTTTAAGATCTTGGTATTTCATAACATTCCTAGTACTACAGATGTTTACAAATATTTTTATAGTGTAGCCATTTGCTTTTTGGAGGGGCGTATTAAAACAGGAAGGAGTAGAGTTAGGTTTCTTAAAAGAACCAAAGTTCTCTCTTTCATATATACTTGATTTTTTTTTTAAAAGGTAAAGCTAGGTGCTTTTTAAAATTACCTTCATTTAAAAGACGCATAAAGAAAATTATGGGCTGTGAAGAGAAGACTCTCAAAGGACAAATTTAGAGATTATAATGACAGGGTATGTAATCAAGGTTATTTAGTTTTAAAAAAAGAGATTGCCAGAAGATAACTTAATTGCTTTGCAAGTATAAGGAAAGTTTATAAGAAGGTGTTGACAAGCATGATAAATATTTTTTCCATTAATTACATGGTACACTAAAGATAGTTTTTGGTACTTAGAAATTACATTTTCAGTTTTAGGAGTGGCAAAGTAATACTTAAGGTGAGGCAGAAGGAATACTTCTCTTTTGAACTGATCTGTTGTTTTTAAAAATATAAAAGTTAGAACTTACTTGCTGGGGCTTGAAGGACTGGGAAAAGAGTCCATGCCCAAGAAGCAGAGTTGTGTGTCACTGTTTACTGGGTAAAATTATTCAGGGTCCCTGTATTCATTTAATTATGAGAAGAGGTAGAGAGAGTGGCTTGGGCTGACGTGAGTTGTCGGTTTAGCCAAGTTGCTCACAGTTACTTAAACTATCATATTTGCTCCTAATTATTTAGTAGGTTTAAATTCAGAAATTGAAACATAAATTGCTATTACCCTAAGGTACTTACTTGTAGAATGCATAGACTTTAACCTTAATCTGTGAATGGCAGAATCCCTTTCAGCACATTCCTAAGGTTCTAGAAAGCATTTTGAGAATTTTGAGGTCTCTGCTAGAGCTTGAAAACATGTACTAAGTCCTGAGAATATTTTTTTGTTACATGTTTCGTTGTAAGGGACTTTGTCATAAGGTGACTATTTGCAAGGTAAATTCTGTTATAAATTCCAAATACTGACATTTGCTTTTTCTCATAATTAATTCATCTTTCTAATGTTTTGTCCAATGTTTGCGCCCTTTAAAAATATATTCCAAAAATTTTTTTGCACTCCTCATGATCTCTCTCCTCTTTAATCCTGTGTTCTATTGATAGGTATCTTCTTCATTTAATTTTTTTCTTTAGTTTCTACCATAATCATACTTTAAATTTTTCTAATATTTATATTACTGAAATGTATTTTCAAATATACATATACATTTATATATATATATATTTATATATTTGATTTTAGTGGAACTGAGTTAGGTTGGATATGTTGAATATAAGGTCTTCAACTCGTGTTGGTAATCCTTTTGTGGATCCCAAATGCTATTTCATATTGAAAAGAACTCATTGGTGATGTTACTAACTTTCCTTAAAAAACAGATTTGTTCTTTCTGTTAGGGGCGTGATGCACAGATTAGAAATCATTTGTGTTTACCCTGAGTCTTGTTGCTTCCTGAGTCTAGATAGATGCATGCTTATTCCCCCACTTTGCTCAGATATTCGCTCAAATGCTTCCTTATTCGAGAGGACCCCCTTGGCCACCACATCTTCAGTACCATTCTAGTTTTAGTTACACTATCACTTTAACTATTGTCTCTTATGGATCACTTTACCTCATTTCCTTTCTTTGTAGCATTTGTCTCCACCTAATACTTTATATACATGTTTGTTGTTTATATTCTGTATCCCTGTACTCCCACCTCCCCACTTTATCTGTATTATAGCATCTCTTCTCTGCAAAGAAATTATATATGTATATTATCGTTCTCTCTGAGTTCTTTAGGCAAATCCAGCCAAACTCACAAGTGATCCTTTTTTCAACTAGGGAAGACATTCCAGGTAGTCAGCTTCAGGTGCCATAAAAACATTGAGCATACTGGTCAGCATTGCATCATAATGTTGGTAAAGAGGAAAAGATCAAAGAGTATACAATCATTTAGTCATTTCATTAAAGTTTCATCCTTGGGAACTGGCATTCAAATTTTCACAGGGCTATGAAAAAAAACTTGATAGAAATCATGCTGATATGTTTATTATATCTTAAGAATCATGTAGGGGCACCTGGGTGGCTCAGTCGGTTAAGTGTCCAATTCTTGATTTTGGCCCACATCATGATCTCAGGGTCGAGAAATGGAGCCCCATGTTGGGCTCTGCACTGCGTGTGGAACCTGTTTAAGAGTAGCCCCCCTGCCAAAATAATTTTTAAAAAAATTAAAAATCCTCTTAAAAAGAATGATGGAGAAAACCTGTACATATTTCTAGTTGGGCAAGTGTTGTGGAATCAGGATTACACAGTGGTTGATAAAGCCATGGTTGAGAAAGAAAATGTAAATATCAAGTAGAGATGAGCAAGGAAGCTTAGTACAAATTACTTTTGAAGCAAAAGAATAGTATACTCAATTGTTTGAAATTCTAAGTGCATATAATTAGGTTTAAAAGTTTTCTGTATCAAAATATAAATAGAATATTAAAATGATATTTGGGTTTATTCAGAAATTTACTCAACATTTCAACAAAAGTCAACAGACTGAGTTTTGGGCATGTCATGATTCAAGTTAATTGAGATATTTATTTAGGGGTGCCTGGGGGGCTCAGTTGGTTAAGTGTCTGACACTTGATTTTAGGTCAGGTCATGATCTCAGGTTTGGGAGATTGAGTGCTGCCTACTTCAGGCTCTGCGCTGGGCATGGTGCCTGCTTAAGATTCCTCCCTTTTCCCCTATTCCCCCTCCCATGCAAGTGCTTTCTTTCTCTCAAAAAAAGAAAATTGTTTGAAATATTTGTTTAAAAGTAAGAACACTTACCAAAAGTTCTGATGGGTGATGATTTATAATTTATAATAACAGGCAAACAAATTTTGTCTCAATAATGTTGTCATTAGCTTCACTTTTATTGATGTGACTTTCTTCTGACATTTACAGAATTCATTCCTTTTTCTTTATGGAGTTCCTTTGATGGTTAAAACTATCAGATTTAAATTTTAAGATTTTAGAATTTGAGGGCCTTTCTAGTTGATCTAGTAAAGCCCCCCCTCTTTTTTTTTTTTTTTTTTCCAGAAAGTAGGAAACTGAAGCTCAGAGGGCATAATTCAATCAGTTGTGGCCATTGATGCTTATTAGAGGCAGGGGTTGGGCTAGACCTGACTTTCCTAAATTGGATTAAAAAGTGGAAAATTATCAATTTTTTCATACAACAGGCCACAGTAAACATAAACCAGCAGCCAGTGTTGAGGTACAGTAATATCAATTTGAGAACAAGAGTTTTCAAGTCCCATAGTGCTACTAACAAATTTATGGCATCTCTGACTGTGCAAGGCTGATCACCCCTTCTGGTTTTCCCCGGACAGGGATTCACAATAGAAATTAGAATCCTATTCACAGTGTTTGCAAACATCAGAATTACTTAGCAATACCTTTAATAATATATTTAGAATCTGCATTTGAGAAAAGAGAAAAGAATATGAGTTACACGTAGCAGAGTTGAGATAGAGATATATTAATACATGTGGAATTAATCACTCTTCTTGAAATAAAAAGGTAACTTGTGAGGATGTCACTTTGTCCAAAATTTATTGGTAAATGTAGTTTTAATTAGACAAAAAAAATAGTTCCAAAGTTCAACAGAAAGACACCGTGAAAGAAGCAGTGTGACAGAGTATGGCAGCTTATACTTCCTGGTATAAATTGAAAATGATGAGACTCCAGAGAGAAGAGCGTGTCAGGCGTTTGGATTTGAAACAGAGCTCAGAATCTTTTTTTTTTTTTTTTTTTAAGATTTTTTTTATTTATTTGACAGAGAGAGACACAGCGAGAGAGGGAACACAAGCAGGGGGAATGGGAGAGGGAGAAGCAGGCTTCCCGCTGGCAGGGAGCCTGATGCGGGGCTCGATCCCAGGACCCCGGGATCATGACCTGAGCTGAAGGCAGACGCTTAACGACTGAGCCACCCAGGCGCCCCCAGAGCTCAGAATCTTGATCGTTGTGTGACTCTGGGCGCTTTGCTTAACACTCTAAGTCTCATTTCCTCAACTGCGTCATGGAAACTCTATTAAAACTAAAACCAGTGCTCACTTAGGCAACATAGATACTAAAACTGGAACAATACAGAGAAGACTAGCATGGCCCCTGCACAAAAGTGACATGCAAATTCGTGAAGCATTCCATATTTTTAAGTCTTAAAAAAAAAAAAAAATACCTAAAACCATAAGCTTGGTGAAGATTAAATGAATTACCGCATGGTAAGTGCTTAGCCTGGTGCAGTTGTGATTCTCCATGTATGTTTGCTGATAGTTGTGTTATTAAGATTAAAAGTAAGAATTTGGTGAAACAATGGAAATAGGAAAGGAATAAAAAAAAAGTTCTAGAAATGTATCCCAAACCTTAACTCATTATAAAGAAGGGATCACGAACCAGTAATTATTCAGTAAAAGGGAAAATTGGCTACTGGGAAAAACCGCTTAATGTAATTGTCCCTTCATACTATTGGGGGAATTCAGTTTCACCAAGACTAAACACTACAGTGTAAAATAAGCAAAACAATCAAATATTAGTAGAGACTATAGATGAAATTTATCTGATTAATACATAGTTTTGTGAGTATAATATTTCAAGAAATCATAAAGAATAGGTTTAAAAGTTAAAAAGTAAGCAACAAACTAGAAAAATAAGACTTAGAATTCACAAGAGTCTGAAAATTAATATATGAGAAAAAGTTTTACGTCGTTAGCCATCAAGGAAATTCAAGTAATTAAAAGATTGAAATAATCTTTTTACTTAGAATTTAGGAAATAAAAATGTTAAGTATTCATGAAAGTGGAATGAGATTGTTACAAATGTAGTATAAATTGGCACATAGTTTCTGTGAGGTAAATTGGCAATTGCTTAAAGAACCTTAAAATCTTTCTTAACTGGGGTATAATGTACAAATGTGTATGGATAAATGTTATCACCTATCTGTTTCTCTGTTTTAGAATAACCATCTTCTTTCCTTATAATATTTCTAGTTTTCAAATTTCCTATAAAAATAGGAAAATCAAAATAAACAAAGTATTTTTAATAGGAATAAAACCTAACCAAGAGTTTTGAAGATCACACCCTCTGTTCACTTTGCTTTTATTTTCCTGCATCGCCCTCTGGTGCCCAACATGTGGTTAGCTTCTGATACCAGAATTGTAACCAACTAATACACAAAATTGTATTGTTAATTTAATTTAGGTAATTCATTTCAATTAACAATTTTTGTATAATATAAATTTGTTACATAAATTATTATGTAAATAAGTCCACTCGTATTTTGTAATTTAAAAAAAATACCCAGGCTACTCTGAATTTGAGGGTTTTTTGCTGGTTATATACACAGTTTGAGCCTACCATTTTGTTTTTACATGCAGAAAAAGAAAAAACAGATCATTAAGACACGTTCTAAGGAATAATTTAGATATTGAACAATTTTTCAGAAACCAAGAAATTATAAATTATGTCCTTTTTGCTCATTTAAGAATGTTTTATAACTAAGCGGTGTACAAAGTACCCTAAAGCGGGTCTGTCTTTGTAAGAGTTTAGACCACACATGGATTAGGGGAAGGGGTAAAAATTAGAGGCAAGCTGTATGGTCAAAGATTAAATGGGCCGTTTCTGTTTCTCTGCAGTTCCAAGTGGAATAGTATCACCTTTGGGTTTCTTTTATCTTTAATTCTTAATGTTTCTAGAGGAAAACTACTTGAGCCCACTAACGATTTCAAACGTGTACTTGGTGCCTTGTGAAAATGTGTTATGACATCCCATGAGGGCACCATTCCTACACAAGGTTGCTTCCGAGGAACTTGATGCTTCTTTGACTTAACAATGTGCCAACATTGCATTTTTATCCAAGGTGGATTCAATGAGCAGCAGAGTTCTCTCTCTCAGAAACATTTTGTGAAGTGATTTCTTACTGAGCAGAGCACCTGAGAACAAAAATACTGTCTTTATAAAGCTAAGAGTTTAAATTACTTCATTTGAGAGGTTAACAATTTATTTTGGCACCGAAAGTATCTTTTAATATGATGTGTGTACTTGACTATGATATTTAATAGGAACGGTCTTTGGAAGCATTGAAATGTACTATTCATGGTTATTTCAGAGACTGTTCAAATAATAAGTTAATGTTTGAAGGATACTTGTATCGTCCCATTAGTGAACTTTAAAGCTCACTGAAGCTGATATCGTTCATCAGAATCTTTCTCATTGGTCTAGGAATCTGTTCTGATTTGAGCATACTAATGTTTTTGCTAAAATAATTTTTTAAATAATAGAGTTGTACTTGATTTAACGTCTACTATGTGCCAGACTTTTTAATAGGTTTTTTACACACGTCTTTCTTTGGGTATTTTAATAGCATCTATTGAGACAGAATACTTACATGTATGAATATATAAGCTTAACACAGTATAAAGCTAAAATATTTCTACAATTATAAATCTATAGCTTGATTTTGACCAACATTTCACACTGTCTTCTAATGAAACTCCATACATACATTTGTTAAATATTTATAGCATACTATTATTATATACCCAGTACTGTGGTTGCAATGGTGGGATGGCAATTTTCTTTGACTGTGGGCTTCTAATCCAGTGGAAGAATCTATCAAGATACCATACAAAGAAGTAGGAAATTTTAATGGAGTTGTATTCTGTGAAAGATACATCTAAGCCTGGGAAAGCTTATAATGGGGTGGTTTGAGCTAGTCAAGAAAGGTCATGAAAGCCTTTTGTAAGGAAAGACTGTTAAGGAAGAGAAGTGTTGTAGGCAGAAGAACAGGTTATATGGAAGGAGGAAATGAAAGAATGGTCATTTGCTCGAGTAGGAATACAAAGTTCCACGTGATTTATACCCCAGATGCTTACCTTAACCCACACATCTTTCTGTCTCAGCATGCTAGCAGAGATTTTCTCAACAGTTCTTATAAGAGGCCTACTCGGTTGAATTTTCTGGGATTGGGAAAGGAATCAGTGTGGTATTAGTTTGGATTTCTGACTCCAGGGTAGTTAAATATACATTTAAAAAAAGCATTTTCTTAATAGGTGACAAAAGCAGGACTCCCTAAATCTATTTTCAATCACAATATACTATTTCAAAGCTTTGTAATACTGTATTATTAAGCTTTTGCCCTAAGGTTTTTAATACATAAGTGATTTATGTATTAAATATGTGGTTTAGAAATTAAAATTTAGGCACTTGTTACCAAAGACTGCAACTTCAGCTTGTGAAAATAAACCTGTTCTTTTTGTCTGTTCTAAAAGCAGATGAGTGTAAGATGTCTGTGAAATATACCCTTACCAAATTTTAAACTTTTAAAATTTCTCATCCCTTTCCTAGGAGAATAAGATTTGCTATGGGGACTTGCACTTTGTAGGTTATTGCTTTCCCTGCATTATTTATGAGTTTTATTATGAGTTTAATCGCAGTATTTATGTTATACACCACTGAATTTGTATTTAATGAATTGAATTTACATTTAATCAGTTTGTGTTAAAGTGACTTAATGAGATGCTTCATTTTTCTGTGTTAAAAGCAGGTCAAGGCCAACCGAAAGATTCAGGGCGTTACATTATTTAGTGCTCATTTTCTGCAAACTTGTAATTTTATCATGATTCACGGTTTAACTAAACCAGTTAATGACATTTCCTGTAACCATTTTTAATAATTCTCGAAGGTCAGACGTTCTACTGTTGATTCATTGGCAAACTTTTTTTAACTTTCTAACATGGGAATGCTCACGTTCTTTTGTTTTCAAAATGGAATATGCAGAATAAGATTGTGTCAGATTATCAAGGAATGGAATAAAAGAGGCAGTCGAATTTAGAACTGAAGATACCACGTTTCCAACGTTTGAATTTGTGGAAAACAACAAAGAAACATATTGGAGCTTTTTACTCCTATATATAATGTACCTGAAAATAGCGTTCAAAGTAAAAACAATAAAGAACTCAAATTATCTGTGCAGGATATTTTCCTTCTTGTTTTATCTCCACTCTCTCCAAACCTTCCATCTCCTCCCTTTATCTTGATTGTGGCTTTTGTCCTCGGTGAAGAGCAAGGCAGACAGTAACTGTCACCTTTTCGACCCCAAATATACGTATACACCCAGCAGCATTTGTACTCAGCTCCCACTCATCCTCCCTGGAGCAGTGAAGTCGATGCCTATTCAAGGGTCACTCCACACGCCGGCTGTCTGTCCCTCTCCACCTTCACAAGAACTTTATATTTCACCGCTTTTCTCTTTCCTGCATCTTTTCCTTCCTCCACTCTTCAATATCAGTCCTCTCTTGCTCTGGTGACCCTGCACTTCAAGGCAGCCTTTCTCCTTGACCCCAGCTTCACCCTTACAGGCACCCCGCCCCCCTCTTTTTCTTCTTTGCTTCCAGCCAAGGTGCTTTGAGGACATGCCTCTGCACTGGCCACCACTTCCCATGTGCTTCCAGGCATTCCGGTGGGCCCCGCCCCTCGCCAACACTGACCGTGTAACATGGATGACTCCCGTGGGCACTTTGAATTTTGCATCTTTGTCTCTGAACTGCTATGAACTATCTTTCTCCCTGAGACTTTTTTTTTTTTCTCTCTCTCTCTCTCTCATCATTCCAAACAGCCCAGTCTCCTGATTTCCTTCCTGCCTCCATGGGAACTTATTTCTACCAAGTTTTCTTAGGGACTCCTTTGACTACTTTCCTTTTATTTATATGGTTTTACACCAAATTTCTATTCTGAAACCTTCTATTTTATTTTTAATCTTTAGCCAAGACTTCTTTTGAGCCTCATGCTTTAAAATTTTTATTTATTTATTTGGGAGAGAGAGCACAAGCAGGGGGAGCAGGAGAGGGAGAAGCAGACTCCCCACTGAGCAGAGAGAGCCTGATGTGGGGCTCGATCCCAGGACCCCGGGATCATAACCTGAGTTGAAGGCAGATGCTTAACCAACTGAGCCACCCAGGCGCCCCCAGCCTCATGCTTTAAATGTTACTATTGCCTGACTTCACCATTTGCATGTCTCACTTATATTGAAAACTCAGCCTCATTTGAACTCTACTTCTCTTGTCTCTTCCTCAAGTACCCACGAGCCCATCACTCCTCTAGTCCTCCGGCCATCCTAATGTCTATGTCAGACACCTGCAGGGCATTCCTGATAAGAG